ATATATACTTTTATATTTATAATAATATTATCAAGTTTATAAGTATTTATAAACTTTTATTATACTTTTTTTATAATATTTTTTTATATATAATTTTTATAATATAATATAATAGTTATTAGTAAGAATATATAAACTTTTATATTTATAATAACTTTATTAAAGTTTTTATAAACTTTTACTTTTCTATATTTTTTTGTTATTTTTATAAATATTTGGTAAAACACTCTATTAAAAAGAAACAACTGTATATATATATTTATAATTTTTATATGATTCAATATTTTAAATTTATGATTATTTGTATAATAATATTTTTTAGTAATAATTATATAAGAAAAATAAGTTTATTAATTTTTTTTAGTAATTTTCAACAAACTTTGCAATGAATAAAAATATTATATAAAAGTATTATTATTACAATAATTATTTTTGTTCCATATTAATTTTTCTAATAAAAATTAATAAACTTTGCAACGCATGAAAATATGATTAAATGTTTATAATATATTTTATTATATTTTTTAAAATTCAAGATGTAAGAGTTTCTTACCTTTCTTTAAAAAAAAATAATAAGAACTCTGCAGTTCTTAAAAATATAAATGTTTTTTTTTAAAATGATTCTTATTATTTTATTGATATTTCTTTTAATAATAAAGTAATTAATTATGAATTTTTTTACTTTAACTTTTTTATAATAAAATTAGTTTTTTTTGTATTTTTTTGTTTTAAAAATTATTACTTGCGGTTTTTTTTAATATAGCTTATAAATATATGATTATTTTACTGATAAAAAAAAATTCTATAATTTATTTTGTATCCTTCATAATATTTCTATTCAGTTTCTTTAGTTTCGTTATTTTTATTTATTTTTAAACTTTAGTTTATAATTTTATTAAGTTTAATTAGTATATAAATGTTAATATATTACTATTTATTCTATAATTATTATTATATTATTAGTATTTTTATTATTTATTATAATTATTTTATTGACAAAAGCTTCTTTGGAAACTCTTATAGACGAGTATTTCCATAACGTTTTGGAGTTTTTACGACGTTTTGTGAAGCAAAACTTCGCTTATTACCCAGTAAAAGTTTTTTTTTATATTAACTACTTTATATTTATTTTTAATAAAAGTTTTTTATATTTCTTTTATACATTTTTATATCGTTTATTATTATTATTATTATTATTATTATTATTATTATTATTATTATTATTAATAATTTTTGGTTAATATAATATTTATTATTAACTTTATATTCATCTTTAGATAAAGCTTATTATTTATTTTATTTTATACTTTATAATTATTTTTTTTATATTTTTTATATTTTTATAAAATATATTGTTGTTATTATTATTTGGTTAATATCATATTTTTTAATTAACATTATATTTACTTTTACAAAGAATTTTTTTCTTTATAAAAAAAAATTCATTATTATAAGTTTTTTTTTTTTAATATTTTTATTTTATTATCAACTTTATATATATTTTTGGTTAAAGTTTTAAATTTTTTATACATTTTATAGAAATTTACTGTTATTTTTTTATAATATTTTTATTTTATTATGAACTTTATATATTTTCAGTAAAAGTTAGTAATTTTTTATTTTTTATATAAATTTATATTATAATTCGTTTATTTTGCTTAAATTTATATTTTTTTATTTGTGGTTGCTGTAGTGATTACTTTATATTTGTTAATAAAGTTTTTAATTCTATTATTATTTTTATATAATTAATTTATTAGATTTATTATTTTTTAATATATTTTATAAATATTTGTTTTTTTTTTACTTTACAATAGAAAGTTTATATTGTATAATTTTAAGTTATTCATAATTAAATCTTATAATTATTTATTTTTTATTTCTTTTTTTTAAAGTTGTAAAGTATTTTTATTTTTTGTATTTATATGTTCTTTATTTAGAAAATCAATTATTATTATTTATTTTATATTCTTTCCATTAAAATTTTATAAATATTAATTTTTAATGTATATACTATATTAAACCTCTTATTATTATTTCTCTTTGCTTTAGTGAAAGTTATATAATAATATTTATTTTATACTTTATTTTTACTTTTAAGTAAAAAGTTTTATCTTTTTTATCAGTATAAAAGTTAATCTTATTTTTTATTTTTATTTTCTTTTATAAAAATAATTATATTTTTATTAAAAGTTATATATTTTATATATTATTTGTCAGAAATTTTTTCTTCGCTTAATGTTTTTTTACTTTTATACTTTGAAGTAAACGTTTTTTTTCTCATAAATTTCTATATCACTAATTATTATTATTTATAGTTTCATAATTGTTATACTTTTTTCCTTTTTTAATATCCTATTAAAAAATTTCTACACTATTTTTATATTAATTATTCTATCGATTAACAATATATTTTTTTTAGTAATATTATTATTTCTTTACTTTATACTTTTTTTTATAGATTATTAAACTGTATAAATCTATTTGGGAGTGTAGCGAAGCTGACACTGCTTTGGGAATTATATTATTATAATTAGAAAATATTATATTATTATTACTATTATTAATATATTATTTAGTTATGTTTCTTTGTTCTTCTGACTGGCAAAGTTGGATAAAGCAAACAACTTGGCCAATAGTCGACACGCTTTTTTCAAAAAGTAATTATTATTATTATTATTATTATTATTATTATTATTATTATTATTATTATTATTATTATTATTATTATTATTATTATTATTATTATTATTATTAATATGGAAAAACTTTTTTATACATAAATAAAACTACTTTCTTGTACATAAAAAATATTACAATATTTTATTATAATAATACTTTATAAATTAATAAAACATAATGCCAAACAAATTATTTTTTTTTGTAATAACTTATATATTTACTTTTTATATATAAAATACTTTATTTAGTGATCTTGTTACTTTCAAAAATTCAAGTTACCAACAGAAACTTTTATCGGAGTCAACTTCGCCGTTTAAGCCAATTGGAAGATAGAAAGGTTTTGTGTTATCCAATGCGCAATTGAATATATTTCTCTTCAACTTTTTGTAGGTTCAACAGTTTATGAGTATTACAATAAAGAAGAAAAATAAATTGCGGGTATTACTAATAATAATAACTAAAGTAGTAAAAATTAAAATAATAATGATGAATAACTATAATTATTATATTATAAATATTAAAATAATGTTTTTTTTTAGTAATAAAGTTACATTTTATAAAAATTTTTTTAAAAAAATAGAAATTAATATAAAATAGATTTTTTTTAAAAAAAAGTAATAAACTTTTACTATATTAAAAAAATTTTGAATTAATGAAAAAGTAGATTTAATAATTTTTTTAAGTGTGCTAAACTTTACTACTAAAAAAACTTAAAATATATATATAAAAAGGATTGCATATTAATTTTTTAAAGTTATAAATTTATTATTATAATTATTTTTGAAGGAAATTGTATGAAACTTTTATTATTATAAAAAAATTTAAAACATAAAAGTTTTAAATAACATTTTTTAGTTATAAATTTATTATTATTATATATAAAAATTTAATAATATCTGCTTTGTAAATATTATTTTATAATTAGACTTAAAAAAATTGAAGAAACTTTTATTATTATTAAAAAAATTTGAAACTTATAAAAGTTTAAAATAATACATATACTTATAAATCTACTTCTTTTATTTCTAAGAAATAAATAAATATTTTTAAAAATTTTTTATTATAATCGTAGAAAACTGTTATTATTAAAAAAATGTAAACTATATTAAAGTTTTAAATAATTGTCTTTAGTTATAATTTTGTTATTATAATTTTTAAGAAATGTAAAATTATTTTTGCTTATTACAAATATTTTATTATAAATATATTTAAAAAAATATAAAACTTTTATTATTAATAAAAAAATCCAAGATTATAAATTTATTATTATAATTTTAAAAATATATATAAATATTGTTTTTATTTATAAATTTTTTATTATAATTATTTATAAATAAATTGTAGAAAACTTTTATTATTATTAAAAAAAATTAAAAAATTATACATTTATTATTATTCTAATAAATTCTGGATTTAAACTTTTTTTAATTAAGAAAAAATTACTTTTTCAAAGGTTTATAGAAAATTTTTTTGTAGTTATATATTTAATATTATTAACTTTTAAAAAAATTGTACTAAACTTTTACTATTAAAAAAAAAAAGTTAAAAAGTTTATCTAAGGCTATTTTCTATCATGAAAAGAATCATAATAGAAATTTTTAATTTAAAAAATTTTGCAGTTATAATGGGTATTGGTACCAAATTATAAACTGCCGATACTAGATAAAGGCACGTGCGCAAGAGCCAGGAAGAGCCTTTGTTTAGTCCTCAGACTGAGCGCGTGGGTTCGCTGTTTTACCTCTAACAAAGCTTCTTGTTCTAGATTATTTATTGCTCTTTAAATTTTAATTCATACCACGTGCGAGAGAATACCCAACTAATTAAAAAAATTCACTCAATTTTATGAAATAATTTGTTTTAATAATTAATTCATTATTATTCAAAAATTATAATAAATTTTACTTCTTATAAAAAGTAATTTTTTTTATAAAAGTTTTTGTTAAGAATTTTTTAAATTTGTTGTATATCTATTATTATTATTTAAAAAAAATATAGTATACTTTTTCTATATTAATTATTTTAAGTTTATAAAAAAAATATCTGTAAGAGAATTTTTTATAGTTGTTATAAATTTATTATTAATATTATTATTATTATCATTATTATTATTTATATATTTTATATTATATAGAAAAACTTTGAGGAAACAAGAAAATACCAAAATGCTTATGAAAAAAAGTTTATTAGAATTTTATTATTATTTATTATTTTTTTTATTTATGTAATTAATTATTATATCTATTAATATAATTTATATATCATTATCATTTTTATATATTTAATATTATTTTTCTATTATTACTATTATTATTAAGAGTTTGGATTAACCTTCTTGAACGTCTTCGGTGCAGCGAAGAAACTTTAACAACGGGAGAAACTGTAAATTTTTATAATAAATTTTATTTTTACTTCTAATTATTTCTTTTTATTATCGTAATTCCGAATTTATTAAAAACCTTTATTAAATAATTTTTAATAAATAAAAATAATATATTTTACTATTTATTATTTTTTAAATACTTTTATAAATGAATAAAATTCTAAAAAAGCTTATATTAATGATAATAACTTATTATTTTGGTAATTTTTTATATTTTTTCAATTAATATTGAATTTTTACAGTAAATTTATTATAATTTTTTTTAAAAAAGTTTTTTATTAATATAATAACTAAAGAGAATAATAATATAAAGAAAAATAATAGTAATACTATATCATTATATGTATTTATTATATTATTGATTGCTTTACTTTATATATATTTATCTAATATTATTAAATTTTTTACTATTTTTTATAATATTTGAATAATTTTAATTATAATAATAATAATTTGGTTTTATGTATTTATTGTTACTTTCTATTTAACTTTCAGTTTTTCATTAAATCTTTATAAGTATTTTTGAAAAATTTTTTATATAATGATAATAATAAAAGATTTATAGTTTTACATTTTATATTATTTATTTTTTTATATTTTTTTTAAAAAAATAAAAATTTATAATTTTAAAATGTTCTCTTTTTATTATTATATCCATTTTTTAAGTTATTAAACTGCTACTGAAAACATTTTTATAAAAAAGTTTATAACGTTAAAAATTTTTATATTTTTGTTTTATTTTTTTAAAAAAAAAAAAGAATATTTATTGGAAGTTGGATATGCACGAGGACCGTTACAAAAAACGAACTCGGATAGGTTCATATTTTAAATCTATTTTCAAAATGCTTCGTTTAAATTTTATTTAAATTATTTGATTGGATGATATTTCTATTTTTCTTTTTAGTTCGAAACTTTCAGGGGACTTCTCATGATGAAGCTGTACTAGAAAAGTTTAGAAGTTTGGCAAATTTTACTGGGCGAAACGGTCATAAATAATAATTATAAATAATAATAAGAAGAAGAAATATAGAAATATTAATAATAATAAATAAATATAATAATACTTAAGAAATTTATGATAACATTAATAAATATAATAATTATAATAGTAATAATAAAGAAATATATTAATAATACTTCGGAAATATAATAATAATATAAATAATAATTATTTAAAGGGATATAACTATGATTTTAATAAAAAAAATATAATAATATTAATAAATATAATAATCCTTTTTATTTATAGAAAAGCCTCTCAAACTATTACGTACTATACTACAGTTTTTCTTTAATTGACCACAAATAATTATCTTCCACTATTGTTATAGAGTGTCACGGGGAGGAGTCGAGTGTTTCTCATAATAATGCTTCCACGTGCTTTTCTAAAATCTATCGGCTTTACAAGGACAAAGGTATTCACTATTACATGCTGGCCTGCATCAGTTTTAAACTAATTTAACCATTAAAGAAAATGTTGTCAATTAAGTCTGCGTGTAGAAAAAAATCTATGATTTTGGAGCCAGTTATCTAAAAATTATAAAAGTGAGCAAATAGTAAAGAAGGATACATTATAACAAATAAATATAGTAGCACAATATCTTTATCGCGCCATTTTAGCTAAAGTTCCACCCCCTTCTGCCGAAAAGCACGTTTGTTTCGCACAAAGCAGTTATACATGTGCTTTAATTTCCTCCTCTCTACCACGAGAACCACTGCGCTATGTTTTATTCGTTAAAAGGCGAGCGCTATACAGATTTTTAATGCTTTTGATTCGTTATAATAATTCACTTTGTTTGCTTATTACTTTAGAAAACTTTTATATTTATATATATATTTATTTTTATAAGTTTTATAAATCTATAAACTTTTCATCAGAATTCTATTATATTCGTAAAAGGACGTCTTTCACTGGAGATTTAGATCGATTTGCAAAACAAAGCGAATCTTTGGTATTTGCTATTATTATTATATGCTATTAATGTTATTATTATTTTATTATTATAATCATTATCATAATAATCACTAATACTACTTCCAATATAATTAATATTATTATCATTATTTTTTCTATTTCATATCATTATTATTAAAGCTTGAGAGCACCAACAACAAAGTCAATTTTCCTTCAAATCCCAAAAAACTTGTAGTGGAATGTAATATTATTTTTCCAGGTTTTTATCATTTTAATACTTCCTTTATATATTATTTACTTCTTTCAATATTATTGTCTAAATAATAATGAAATGAGTTACTTTCATATATTACTATAAATACTAACCAAATTATTTTCTTTAGGGTGCTCTGCTAAAGGGCGCCTTATGATCGACTCCATGTATTTTACTTTTTCACTTCACGAGACTGAGGTACAGCGGAACAGCGAGTTTAAAGCCCATCTTGCTAATGTTGAGGGCACATGGTAGTTGCCTTTAAATTTTTTTATTAAAGATCATGAAACACATCTCAATACTTATAGGAACCAATCAGACATACTCTCCGTGGCTGCTCGGCGATATATGCTTCGGCCAACCGCCGTTGAGCTGCTGCTCCGGAATAAAACACGAATGCTTTTAAATTTTGAAAGGGAAGACGACTTGATTCAAGTACTGCTTTTACTGCCGACTGGTTTGACTTTTTTTCTTTTTTTTTCTTGGTTACCTTTTATATATATATATTAATATTAAAAAATCTTTATATCAAAAAATTAAACATTTTCATTAATAAAGTACACAATTATAGTGACAATATCAACTATTTTCTAATAATAATGAAATATTTTATATTTTCTGTACAAGTAAATCTATAAAACTATTTATTGCAGGAAATGATGTCCTTTTAGGGAGGGGAAGCTTAAAAAACTTTATAAAACCTAATTTAAGAACTCCTTCAGAACTTTTTCAAAAAGTAATTATTATTATTACTACTATTATATAATATTTATTATTACAATTATTATAACTTATTATTAATTAAATTATTAAAAAACTGTTGTTACTATGAAAGTCGACTTTTACTGAAAAATGGCAAAGCCATCAGCTATCAAACTTTGAGTATCTCATGGAAATCAACGCATTTGCTGGACGCAGTTATAATGATCTTAACCAATATCCTGGTAGCTTTTATATATAATGCTATAATAAGCACAAAAAGGTATAAATAAAAGAATTAGACGCAAAATACAATCAACAACCTTTTAAAGCTAATACAAAATATATTACAAAAAAAACGCAAAATATAAAACAAATAAATCTGAATCATAAACATATAAACATATTTTCTAATTAAAAAAATGATGCATTGATGACCAGTCTCTTATTTAAGAATTTCAACCATAAAATAACAACTATTATGGTTAACTGGAAGAAATACGACCTTTTTTTTCCTATCTCTAATATTGGTAGTTATTTTGGCAGATTTGTATCCAGCACACCAACTTTATGGGTAGCCTTAATACTTAATATTGCTAGAATGTTTCTACTGGTAATTATTCTAGTAGCTTTCTACTTACTACTAAATTGTATCTTCTATAACTTAAATTGGTAGTTATTTTAAAAGCTTTATTTCTGTACTACCAAAATTCTCTTTAACTTAAATTATATTTACCTTGGTAGCTTTTATCTTTATATATCAAATGGTTTCTCTTATAGCTGAATAGGTGGTTATAGGTAATTTTATTTACTGCTCTTCTATTGTTTCTTTATTTTTGAATTGGTGGTTTTCTTGGTAGCTTTAATATCTGATACAACCTAATTGTTTATCCTTTCACTCAAATTGGTAGTTATATAGGTAAATCTAATATTAGCATGCAACTTGTTTTTGGTACCTTTTAGTAATTAACTCTACCAAACTATTTTTTCTTAAAATGGTAATTTTAATAAATACCGCTTATTGTTTTTTGGTAGTTTCAATAATTGATGCTACCGCATAGTTCTTAAATTAATGGCCGCTATCACAATTAATTCTACCTAATGGTTTTCTTTTTTCCTAAATTGGTAGTTTTTCCTTGGATTTTATCCGATTATTCCAGTGAAACTATTAACCTTCTCGACCCAAGTAACTTTACAAAGCCCTCTACAGTCACGTGTAAAACTAATGTTTCAGCCAATAGGGGTCTACAGAGATTTGAGCCGGCCTGTAGGAGCCCTAAATAAAGAACGCTTAGCAATTGTATTGTTATTATTACCGTTAATGTTATATTTTATAATTATTATTACCATGACTATTATTATTATTATTATAGTTCAAAGAACGCTTTGAAACTTGGAGTGATCCGGAAGTCCCATCATTTCACTACGGTTCTCACTATTCCACCGCCAGCTACGTTCTCTATTGGCTCATTAGGCTTGAGCCTTTTACTACTCTTTTTCTGAATTTTCAAGGTTTTTTAGTTTTACTTATATTTTTTTATTATATATTATATTACTATTATTGTCATTTTTATTTTTATAGGTGGAAAGTTTGACCAGCCCTCTCGAATATTCTCTTCTATAAAAAAAACATGGCAAAACTGCAATCAGTCTACTTCTGATGTTAAAGAACTTATTCCGGAACTTTTTTATTTACCGGAAATGTTTGTACGACTTTTTCATAAAAGTTCATAGAAACTTTAGTATGTATAATTTTTTTATAATATTTTAAAAAAAAAAACGTAATGAATAAATATTAAGTAAATAATAAATTTTTTGCGTATTTTTTTAATGAATCCCGTGGCTTTCTGTAAAGGACTTTACTAATATTGATTTTCATCATTTCTTATTATTTTGTAGCGAATTGCTTTCTACTTTTTATTTAGATTAATATTAATCACTACAATTTTGGAAAGCTCGATAAGGACGATCCGATTGGAGACGTGGTTTTGCCCAATTGGTTATTATTATTATTGTTATTATAATTATTATTATTTTTATTATTTAGGTGCAACAATGATCCTTATGTTTTCGTTCAAATTCATAAAGCTGCCCTGGGTATTTTATTATTATTATTATTATTATTATTATTATTATTATTATTATTATTATTATTATTATTATTATTATTATTATTATTATTATTATTAATTATTGTTATTATATTATTATTACTACTATTATTATTATTATTATTAATTATTGTTATTATATTACTATTACTATTATTATTATTAATAGAATTATTATTATAGTTATTGTTATCACTATTTCGAAATAAACAATAGTAAAAATAAAAGTATTACTTACCTATTAAAATTTTAATTATTTATCATAACAAACCATAAAAAGTAGATATTATAAAAAGTTTATTATTAAGAAACCGTTTTATATATTAATTATTTACTTCTTATTATAATTATATATTACTATTTTTAATATTATTTTTATTTTCCTTATTATTATTATTATTTATACTATTTTTTCGAATATTAAAAGTTTATTATTAATTAAACATTATACTAAATGAATGATAAAAGATTTACTATTAATAAGTATTTCTCCTTTTAAATATTATCAGTGAACTTTTTTTTTATTTTTTTAGAACTTTATTTATATATATTTCAATTCTATTTAATAATAATAACGAAAAAGAAAAGTTTTTTTATGGTAAATATAAATGTTTATGTTTTCAAGTGTTCACTATATTTTTTAATATTTTTTTTATTTATTTTTTTTCGGTAATAAAATATTTATAAAATTGTTTAACTTTTTATATCTATTTTTTTTACTTTCACTTTCGTTATTATTATTATTTGAGCTCATGATTATTTTTTTATTTAATTTAGTATATTTTATACATTCTAGTAAATCAATATAAAAATTATTATTGTATTGAAAATATTTTTATATTTTATATTTTTTAATATTTTTATCAAATTTTTATTTATACTTTTATATATTATTTATATTATATTAAACTTTACTTAACTTTTTATTTTTTTTTTTAATATATTTTTTCTATACTTTCATTTATATTGCTTTTAAACTTTTTAAATTTCTAATAAAGTTTTCTTTAGTTTACTTTCTACACTCTTAAATATTAATTTTTTATATTTTTCATTTTTTTTATTTTACGTATTATTTTATATTAACCATTTTTTATTAGTTTACCTTCTTTTACTTATAAATATTATTTTATATATATAAAAAAAAATAAAATTGATAAACAATTTAATAAAAAAGTTATTATTTCATAAAACTGGTTAAAAAAGTTTATATATAAAAAAAAAAATTAAGAAAGAAATTTTAATATTTCCATAATTTTTATTTAGTTTTATTCTTTATTTATTATTATTAAATAATTATTATAATCAAATCTTTATTTTACGTTATTTTTCATATTTTTAATTTTTTAATAAGTTTTACTTTTAGTTTTCAATACTGTTCATTAGTAACTTATATAATAAATAATTATTATAATTTCTTTACGTTAACTTTACTCTATTTTGTTATATAAGTTTTGCTTTAGTTTTATATATTTATTTATTTTTATATTAATTAAAAGTAATTTATACTGTGATTATTATACTTACTTTTATATTTACGTTAACTTTTATATTTATTTTTTTAATTAGTTTTACTTTTAGTTTTTGTATTTATTTTTATTTTTTATATTATTTTTTTATATTATTTAAAATAATTCATATATTAATTATTATGATTACTTTTATATTTTACCTGAACTATTATATTTTTTAGAATTTTTAATAATTTTTTTTAGGAGTTTTACTTTATTTTTTTATTTTATTAAAAAGTAATTTATGTAAAAGCAAAGATAAAAAAAAATGTTATATTATAGTAATTTTTATTTTATATTTGAAGTTAACATTTATATATTTTTATTTAATTTTTTTAAATTTTTTTATATTTTTATATTATTTTCTCTTTTTATAACTTTTATATATTTATATATTTTATATATTTTTAATTTTTTTTTTTATTTATTACACTGATAGGTTTAACTCTTTTGTATATTATTTTTTTTTATTTCTACATATTTTCCTTTTTTATTATTATTCATATTTTTCTATATTTTAAATTTTTTTATCTAAAAAAGAATCCGATTATGTTTCTGCTCATCTTCATTATTGGCTCGACCTTATTTTCGGCTACAAACAACAGGGTAACTATTATTATTATTATTTATTATAAAGAAAAAATAAAAAAAATGAGCAATTAAACTCTTTTAATGAATTCTCTGCCAATTACATTTCGTTTTATTGTAAAATTAGCCAATGAGTGGTTGCATTGTTGTATAAGGTTTACTTGATCTTTGATTTATGCAATTCGTTATAACTATAATTTATTATTTATATTTATTTTATTATTATTATTATTATTATTTATAACATAACAAATTTAATAACAGGAGAAGCTGCAGTTGAGGCCAATAACATTTTTTATTACTTAACTTATGAAAGTTAATAATATATTTTATATTATATTATATTATATTATATTATTATTTAAATAATTGTAAATATATATTATTTTAAAATTATTTAAATATTTATAATAAAGACGCCTCCAATCTTGAAACTGTTATTGATCCTGTCTTAAAAGATGCACTTAAGCAGCAGATTACTAGTTTTGGCCAAACTCCCGTAATAGAAAACTTATAAATAATAATAATAAATAGTAATAATACTCATTAAACAATAGAAATAAATAATAGATAATAATAATAATGATAATAATAAATAGAGAAATATATATATATATATATATAACAATATTTTTTTCTTCTAAAGAGTCAGCTTCTTTATAAACCTCATCCCCCTCGTCTCGGCGTTGCAAGTGTTACAAGATTTTACAGCCAATCAGAGGTTTTAATATTCTTAAAAACTTTATATCGACCAATAAGAGGGCACTATAATAAATTTGGAAATAGAAAGGGACGCCTTTAATGAACTTCCAGGTTTCCAATTCGTCATTAATATTGTCCTTTTTTGATGAAAATAGTCAATCACTACTCGATAAATTCGCAGTTCTTTACTCTACGTATTTATTATTATTATTATTATTATTATTATTATTATTATTATTATTATTATTATTATTATTACTATTACTATTATTATTCATAAATACTACTAGAGTTCCTTATAAAAAAAGCTCCTCCCGTGCAAGCTTATATATATATACTCTAACAGGTTCATCTAGTGTTCGTAATAATGCGCCATTGCAAATTATGAATAATAATCAAATAATAATATAAATTGTACAATAAACTTTTCTAATTTCTTTTATGCTGCTTAGCGATATTTTTTTTTTATACTACTTTTTTTTATATAATGGAGATTCTCTTTTATTATCTTTTTATAAAATAACGTTACCTGAAAGTAAAGAAGGTACTCTTTTTATTATATTTTACATTGAAGATTTTTATGTTTTTATTAAATTATATTGTTGCTATTTTTATTTATATTTTATGTACAAATGAACTTTTCTTTAATATTATAAAACTTTATTTTTTTATATACCGATTTGTTACTATCAAAATAAAATTACTTTTTACTTATAATTATCTCTTTATTATAATAATCCCTATTGATTATTATATATTATTATAACTATTACTTATTTTAAAATTATAGTTTTATTTACTACTTCAAATTAACTTTATCATCTTTATTTAATTCTTTAATTTTTATTAAAAATATTATTATCACTATTATTGTTGTTATATGAATAATTGCTGAGTTCTACAGAAACCTTCCCTTCACTTTTATTCCAAAAGCATATTCAGTCCTACTATAGTACTTCCGACGTTGTAACGATATTATATTATTGTTATTATAATTATTACTATTATTTATTGTTATTATTATTATAACTATAATTATTATTATTACTATTCTTATTATACATTTTCATTGCATATTAAATAGCCATACAGTGAAAATACCAATCATTTTGTTATATCCAAAAGTTACAAGGTCTACAGTTACTTGTCTAGTATTATTATTACTACTATTACAATTATTATTATTATTGTTATCATTATTATTATTTACAGCTTTTTTGGAAGTGCTCTTATCCGGACAACAGTTTTAAAGCCTTCTCTCTTATGGGCTCTTCCAGCTTTCCTTCTCAGTCTATTTATTACCACTGCGCACGTGTTGACTGTATAGCAATGAGTCCGGATGAGATTTTATTGGCTACCGCTTCTTCCGATACGACTGTGATGGTTTGGTGCGCGAGCCAGTAAATAAGAGAAAGAATTGTAGTTATAAAAATAATAATGAACCAATAGGAATATTCTAAATAACGGACTGGTGGATTTTTATCCAATCACTGTACTTTATTACCATAGAACACACATTACTGCGCTTTCCATCTGCGCCGATTTAGATATTGTGTTTTCCGCAGGGGAGGAATTTGGATTGGTTCATTCTGCTTACAAAGGCATTCTGGTACCGTTGGACTTCTTAATATGGCGCCCTTTAGTTTTTCAGCTCAACCATTTGTCATCAGTTAAGAAAAATCCCGAATCCTGCTGATATGCATGCTAGGTTTTCTATGTTGACCAGCAACAGTCTCCTCATTGTCTATTACGAGGGCTTGACTTTGACCGGCGTGTTGGCCGTTTACACAATTAACGGTATGAAAATGCTATTATGTTTGTAACTGTTTCAATGAACTTTTTTTTAAGTGAAATAATTATAATGACTTATTATATTAATACAAAAAAAGGCCACCAGCTCGTCCAATTAAAATTTGAAGAGCAAATCACTACTATAACAGCCACTAAAGACGGTGAATCGTTGCTAGTAGCCACCATAAACGGGTTACATTTATTAATCTATCACCTTATTCGGGCTGCAAAACCTTTTTTTGATACAATTAATCTTTAGCACTGTAAAGATATTCGTCACGTACAATCTAACGGAACTGCACATGTTCCAGACAACTGCGCCAATTTGCTCGCTTGTCCTTTCGGAATCCGAAGATTTAATCTTAGTTGGGCTTGCCAACGGCTCCTTATTACTCTACTGCGCTTACATTATTGACTGGAGTCGCTCAGCACGACTTCTCGATTATTAAAGAATTCGTTAATTTTTTCATTCATGAAAAAAAAAAATTTTTTTAGGGAATTTTTTTAAAACAAAAAAAGTTAAATTTTTTGTTAGAAAAATTATATAAAGGGCGTTTCTCTTCTGGATTTTGCTTATTAATTAGAAAAACTCGTATAACATTAACATAGTGAAAAGAGGCTCTTTTGCTTTAAATTTCATTACAATTTTCGTCCATCCTTATTAATTCCGTTTCCTTATTCTATCTTTTCAGCGCTTATATATTTTTACCTTGCATTCTGCTAGTGCTCGCTCTAAGCATAGTTTATGGTATTTAATTTTGCCTATTTATTTGGAAATATCCATAATTATACCGATTAGTAAAAAACTTTAACGGGCTGAGAAAAAAAGATCAATAAAATTGTGCCAAAATAAATAACAATTATTTAAAAAGGGGTAAATTGTTAACTCATTTATTCCATACAACGACAATTACAAAAACTAATGAGTGCCTAATAAAAAATAAAGTGAATTGTTTATAAAAACATACACGACCATTTAAAACTGTTTCTATATTTAAAATGTCTCCTTAAAAATTCTGTAGATCAACAATTATTAATTAGCTTCATTAATATCTTACATGTTTATAAGTTTAGAACAAATTTTTTTTAATGTAATTGGTATAATAAAAATTGCTTTTTTACTCAAGTCTTTATTGTATTATAAAGTTTAAGTATTGATTAAAACGATTCTCACAGGACACTACTTATTGCAATAATATTGTTTTAATCTATATTCAGTCACTCCATCATAAGGGGTTTTTTCATAGCTTTTGAGCGACTGTAAAGGATAGCTTAATTATAAACTTACATAATAAAGCGTAAACTTCCAATCGGTAGAGAAAATGGTTAAAAAATGCCTTTTAGATCAAGGCAAGTCTCATACTGAGATCTCTCATGGATGTGGTGTCAGCAAGGCTACAAATATCCCGAATCACAAGGCTCAATATGATCCAAATCTTCTTTATAATGACCCCGGGCGTCCATAGTTCTTGAATAACCAGGATGTAGATCAATTTGTACGACAGGTGACGTCTGCAGCTATCAAATGTTTAATAATAAATTAGTACGTCGGGCTTCACAGTGAATGAAAAACTCAATAAAATTTGTGAAAGGAAGAGATTTAATTCTCTGTCGCTAACATACTCCTTTACTTTCAAATGTAACTTCTCTTTTTTTTTTTCCTGTTTACACAAACGATAGAGTTCAGCAAAGTATTGGGCTTCTATCTTATTACTTTTATCATTGGAAGTTATGAAAATAAGTCTCCTTATTCAAAATTTTTTATATTTACACTATACATAAAAACATACAGGTTAGTTTTATTTATACTTGCACTTTTATCTTCTTAGTCCATAGAAATAAGTATATATTATAGCGAACTTGGGCAACTAAACTATTTAACGTTAGTCGAATAAAAGCCTAGGTAACTTGAAATTTCAAAATAATTCGAATTTTGTAGAAAAATTGCTTAACAATAAGGTCTTTATAGACAAGAGTGAAAGGCACGTATAGATTTATTTAAAAAGACGAACTACCAAGCTCGAGTACATTTAACATATTATCAGTTGACATTTCTATTAATTGTTGCTGGTGTGCTTTGTGACGGCTTTGGTTTCTTCAGGCACAGCATGCTTTGCTAATTTTCCGGGTAGAAGTAGCCGGACAGAAGTTTGAATTTCCCGAGTATCTATAGTCGAGCGCTTGTTATACTGAGCGAGCTTAGAGGCCTCATTAGCGATATTTTCAAAATGTCTCCGACCAAAGAATTCAAGATCTTCGCTTTTGAAGAAATTTTAGTGTCTGGAGGTATATGCTTGAAAACTTAGTCGTTCTTTTTGAAGTTAATTTACTGTGGTTTATAAATACATATATTATCTATATAATAAAATTAAAGATATTAAATGCTAATAAACGAGAATATCCTAATTTGACTTTATTTAAGTAAAATCTTTCCTTTGTAATTTTTTTAATATGTATGTTAGTAGAATCTCAAATGTTTCCGAATGTTCGTAATTAACTTAGCATGTGCCTCAATTTGAGGGTATAAATAGCTTCCGTGAAGGACACGAAAGAAGCCCTACTCTCTGTGCGTTGAGGTTCGCGTGAGGATTAGACTTCCGTGTGTCGGTTGATTTGGGTGCGTGTTTGTTTGTATATCTGGCGAGCGACGCAGTATAACTGTCGATTTATAGTCGTTTTTCTTCGTTACCTTTATAGGTGCTATAGTTAGACATTACGTGATAAGAGGGAGAGTTTTAACTAACAATTGCATTCCTAAGTTATATAAATTTCAAAACAAAAATTACATCGTTATGAATCATACAAGGACAAAAGCGCGCCCGGTTCCAGTGTTAACTGAGGAAGTGTTGCGCAACCGTAGTATAAGCAGCATAGGATGATGGGGGAAATGCGCAGGGTTAAAAAGAATTGACTCAGCGTTTTACTAGAGAGATGGATGCTTTAGAATCTGAGGTTAGTGCTGGAGAATGTTAATACCTTGAAGGACACGATGGAATACGTTAGACCGATGATTGCTAAAGCTCAGCGAGTTAGTGGACGAGCATTACAAGGATGTTATCCTGGCGAAACTTAATGAGTAGCCGAGGAGCTCAACTGAAGAGTTGGTTGAAGCACCAGTGTTGGACGAGCTCCTCCCGGTAACTTGCGGGTTACATATACGGGGATAACCATTATGCTCGTTTTTAAAAAACGCAGAGAGGAATAATAAGAGTTTCGCGACGTATTCCCATTTAGTTTCTGAAATAAAATCAGACACTCGTAATTCTAATGACAGGTTGGATGTTTGTTTAGTTAAAAAGAAACAGCGAGATAACTTAGTTGAAGGACAGATGAAGGGCATACATTGTGTAATATTTTTGGATTCTGGAGCGAATGGTACATTTACTAGCGTTAGCGCGTTGTCAAAGTTTGATTTGCATTTGTTAGAGGGATCTAGCCGGCGAAGAAGTTTCCAGGTCTTTGAAGGAAGTAACTACTGGACTTAAAGTTCGGTTCCAGTTTATCTCCTAAATTAAATATTAAAAAAGCTGGTATTAAATGTTGTACTTCATGATCTCGCCAAGGGTGTAAATATCCTGTTTGGAAAAGAAGATTTTGGAAAATTTTCCCTTCGGATCGGCAAATTGGCAAGCAAAGAAAAACCATTTGCCTACTTCAGAAGGTGACAAATTAATTAGTGGAGAGACACTACGAGAAAATTCCTGAAGACGTGATTTTGTGGATTTTTGAGAGCATGGGTAGAAAGAAAGATCTGGTCTCAATTATGAATATAAGAACCTTACCTATTTTGAAATGGAAGACGGTGAACACCAAGAAAAAAATCGACAGTTTGGCAAGGAGAATAAATAATCTGAGATAGGACCCGGATGTATAAACTTGATGAAATTGGAACTTCTCAAAGTTAAGCTTAAAGATGATGTGTCGAACGCTTGAACCAAGTATGAAATAAAAGTTAAGACGAAAGCATTAATTAATATGAGAGAGTGCGAGAAGCTACTTAGAGTTGGTGGTTTTTTGGAAGATATTACTGGGGTAAGGGGGACCATATGCAGGTTCTAGTGGAGAAACCCAGCATAAAGGGGGCAAGCATTGAGGACGTGAAAAAAGAGTCGGAAAAACAAATGCACATGTGCGATGCTCCTCATGGTCTCAGTGAGAGATACGTAGTAGAGAGGTACAGAACCCTGAGGGAACTATTTATTAATATGAAAGTAAAGGATAAAAAAAACTGTTTCACACCTTAATGCGAAAGGCTTTTACCCAGAGAGAGATAGATGTTCACTGAAGGAAGTATTTTGAAAGTATTTTGCTTTTATCATGCCTAACTGCAGGAGGGTACAGTGGACAGATTTGCCTTTTAATTATGTGAATGGACCCTTCAAATTTAAAAAAAAGCATAAATGTTATAACTTCTGGCTTGCAGAACACTCACGTTTACGTAGATGACTGCTTGGTAGATACAGAATCCAGAGAAGACCACTATCAGGCACTTTATGAGCTATTAACCAGTTACGATAAATTTAGTGTAAAGGTACAGTTAGAAAAAAAATGCAAGCTTGTTCGAAGTGAAGTACGGTGACTAAGGAGAGAACTCATCGACTCGGGGCTCAGAATGGGGGAAGATCACGTTCAAGAATTAAAAAACATGCTGAAAACAAAAACTAAAGATGAATTAATCAGTTTTTTACAGTCTTTAAACTATTGGATCAATTTTATCCCTCAGTGTGCTGTAATCACTGAACCGCTAAGTAGATTGTTTATAAAAAAGGTAAAATTTATGTGGGGCAGTGAGCAAGAATATTCGTAGAATAAAGTCAATGTTCTGGAATCGAACAGTATGCGCCTAGTATATAAATAAGGAATATGACTTAAAATTCTTCAGACAGATTTCAGTGATATAGGAATTCTTATTTCAAAGATGCGATGAACACTTGCGCTCTATAGCATTTGTGAGTACTAAATAAAATGAAGCTCACAGAAAGTATAGCGTAACGGATAGGGAGGCGTTAGCTCTCGCTTGACCCATTAACACATTAATAGACCATATTCATTTAAGTAAAAAGAGACTTAGAATTGAAACAGACCAAGAAAACCTTCTTGGAGTTTTTAATAATGCGTATGAACCTGAATCGGTAAGGGAAAAGGAATTAACATTATTAAGCAATATAATGAGCATACTTATTGAACATTAAAATGCGTGCCTGGTAAAATAATGTCATTGCAAATTTACTGTCAAGACACCCATCTAATGAAAACTTAGATGTCGAACAAGTGAAGTTTTACTTCAACTAAGGAAAACCAGATAATATCGATGTTATTTAGCAAATTCTCGAGAATTGATTTCAAGTGGGAAAGAGAAAGTTGAAATACTTGCCCGGTGATTGCATACCATACACTTTTATAGAAAAAGTTGTCAACGAGCGTGAAGTATGCCAACGTTTTTAGTAACAGAAATTTACTTACCAGGGAGAAACTTAAATTAGTCGATGAAGCAGAGGAACCTCTGAAGCATCTGGTTTCGATATAATGGTAATGTCGAAGACTCATGAAGGTGTAGACAGTGTCCTGGTTTTTTGGATAGATATTCAAGATTTGTATGAACGTTTTCTCTGCAATAAGTTACAACAGAAGAGGTGGAAAACCACTTAAAAGAATTTTTTTAAGTGGTAAGTCTCTATGTTGTATAACATTCGATAGGGAATCGAATTTTGTGAGAAGAGTCATCTCGATTTCCAAAGGAAAAAGGTTTTAAAGCTCACTTTGCCAATGGAAATGGTCAGAAGGGTAATTTAAGCCATTATAAACTCTTTGTTAAAAATATGTGCTAAAAATGTTGTGGCTTACAATTATAGAGGACTACGTGAGGAGGAATAGACTTTCAAGAGTACAGTCTTAGTGCTTGTCGAAGAGGATCTCCAGCTTTTTGGATGGTCGCTTTAATATTCGGCGGGCATCCCACTGCGGCTACTTCTCCCCAGCCTCTGTAAATGAGATTTTCGACTAAAATTTTTAAACACCAAACTTTCCGAATAATCGTGCTCCATTGTCACCGCGCATCTTTTCAAGGCTCTTAAAAATGTATCTAAGCCACTTAAGATCAAAACACTCCCCTCCGCGCTCGTGCATGCAATCAGTTCATGCAGTGCAACATTAAACTTATTCTCATTATTTCTTCCATCTCTTAAGTTACTAAAGAATGTAAGGGACGGGTACCTAGGGGCTATAGCATTAACGCTGCCCACACAGCTATCACATTCAGTTTTTGTGGGCGAAAAACACGATTATCTTAAGTGATGTGGACAACATGCTTCAAAGAATCCGCAAATCGTTTTGGGATCTAAATTTTATGTGTTATTAACTGACCACCACTAAGAGTAGAATATTTCACCCTAGGATGGTCATTCATTTGCAACACACACACGTTGGACATAAGTTCCGCTGCTTGTCCCCTCGGCATGGCGAGAAG